GGATACGCAACGTACATCCAGGGGCGGATGGCTTAGCCCGGGCCGCCGTAGTAGACACGGCCACGACCAGACTCACCCGTCCGGTGACGAAAATCTGCCCTCTCCCAATCCAGCTGGACTGTACCGACAAGGACGAAGCAACGCCTACCCTGTGCTAGGCACCCGAGTACCTTAACGAGGCGGGCGGAATGTTCGCGAATCGATTTAGCGCGCGCCGATGATGGTCGAGATCGATAGACCGAGTCGTCACATAAACAGATGCTATCAAAACATCTTTGTATAAGGAGTCACCGTGACGATGTTTTGCGACACGGTTTATTCTATATCGCGGAGCCTATTCCTTTTGTAAACGGGTGGATCGAGGAGCTCGGGGCAAGGGGATGAGGCTCCTCAAATTCCTACGCGAGGTTTATTGGCGGTTAGTCGCCTGCGAGAACTACGAGAATAACGAGCATTCGAGAGCGATCGAATACCGTCAATTAAATTATTTGTAATTGAGCCTAGATAAAATATAATCCGTGAAGTGAAGCTGTGAGTGCGGTGACGCGTGATCTTTTTTTTCTACGATCCATCCACGACATCCTCGTCTTCACAAATCGACCTACAGCCGATTTATCGGAGCTTTCCGAACGGAGAGTTGAGAACAAAGAGATACAGTTACAAATAATTAAATTTTCGTGCTTTGGCTCTGTTGGCCGATTTAAAAAAAAAACATATTTATATTCTTAATATTGAGAGCCGATAAAAATATTTCTTTCTGATTATTTTTTTTATTTTACTGGCAAAAATTTCGTTTTTGTTTTTTAAAAATATATTTAATAGGTATAAATTGATATATAAACATTGATTGGAGTTAATTATCTTTATTAAAAATTTTTAACAGATCCATTTAATTATACATCTATATATATGTGTACATAATATATAATATACATAAATAAAAAAACAAATTAACATAACATAAAATTAACATAACAAGAAATTAACATTTTAAAATACTAACATATATATCTCTTATTAATAAAAAAATATTGTGTGGAAATTATCATATTGTAATGCTGTTATAAATCCCATACAGCACAGAACATTCCAGTTACATTGCAGCAATGTTACAATCTTTCAAGTTGCAATGTAACATTTTAGAGACATTACAAAAACAGATAATTGTAACATTTTATAAGAATATTACAGCAACATTCCAGAAATATTGCAAAATAAAATATATATTCAATTTTATTTAGTCACTAATTTGTTCATTTATACCATTTTATGTGACGGTCTTATTGATTCACACACACACACACACACACACACACACACACACACAAATAGACATTGGGAAATATATAATATTAAAAAAATATATTATTTATATATATATATATATATTTAATTATACATATATGTATATACAGGGTGTCCGGTAATGGTCGCCTCAACCGTCGTGTGCAGGTAGAGTAAGTTAAACCGAATAAGAAAGTCCTCTACCGTTTTGCGATTTTCGCAATAATTATTGTGTTATTAAATAAAAAAGATCGGCCAATCTAAGCGCGCGACGAGATGAGACGGTCCCCTGTCACACGATACACGGCGCGCGGCAAAGCGGAGGGAGGAGCGAACGCGATGGCTACGAACGGCGCGTAACGCTAAAGCTCCGCGACAACTATTTTCTCTCTTTCCCTTTTCATCTCACTTTCTTTACTAAAAACGAATCTTTTTATTTTCAAAATGGCATCTTGATTAATTATTGTAAAGTACAGTTTTGAAAAATTAATAATCGCATTGACATCATTTTCGACGATGTATCTCATTAAAATTTAACATGCATACAAAGCAAAATAAGAGTCTGATGCAAATCACACCATACACGGAGAGAATTTTCTCTTATTAGAATTTATCCTGAAAATCATGGTAATCGTGGGATAATATGGTGTAGGAAAAATATTATAAGAGTTTTTTTGATTAATATTTACTACATTAAAAATTATTAATATGAACATAGTAAAATTAATCGAGTACATTTTTTATTTTATTGTGGTAGATATTAATATTTTTATTGTGGTAAATATTAATCAGAAAAATTCTTATAAAATTCTTCCAGTACCTTACTGTCCCACGATTACCATGATTTTCAGGGTAAATTTTAAGAGAAAATTTTTTATGTGTAGTATTCGAATACGTTTTATCAAAATTTACGTTTTTAAAATAATCAATAAATGATAATAACGAGAGAGAGAGAGAGAGAGAGAGAGAGAAAGAGAGAGAGAGAGAGAGAGTGAGGAACGTTATTATCATAAATGATAACGTTCCTCACTCACTCACTCACTCTCTCTTTCTCTCTCTCTCCCTCTCTCATTATTATCATTTATTGATTATTTTAAAAAACGTAAAATTTTGATAGGATGTATTCGAATACTACACAGAGAAAATTTTTTCTTAAAATTTACTCTAAAAATGATGGTAATCGTGGGACAATGGTATTGAAAGAATTTTATAAGAATTTTTCTGATTAATATTTACTATAATAAAAATATTATAGAAAAGAAAGTGAGATGAAAAGGGAAAGAGAGAAAATAGTTGTCGCGGAGCTTTAGCGTTACGCGCCGTTCGTAGCCATCGCGTTCGCTCCTCCCTCCGCTTTGCCGCGCGCCGTGTATCGTGTGACAGGAGGCCGTCTCATCTCGTCGCGCGCTTAGATTGGCCGATCTTTTTTATTTAATAACACAATAATTATTGCGAAAATCGCAAAACGGTAGAGGACTTTCCTATTCGGTTTAACTTACTCTACCTGCACACGACGGTTGAGGCGACCATTACCGGACACCCTGTATATATATATATATATATATATAGATTAAAATATAAAAATATATATATATTGTAATGTCTCTAAAATGTTACATTGCAACTTGAAAGATTGTAATATTGCTGCAATGTAACTGCAATGTTCTGTGCTGTATTGGAACTTCGTCCTTCCTAAGTATCGTATATTATTTATTAATACTTACGACATCAAAATTTTCATTCTGCTAAGCTACTAAGCTTATTGAAGAACTAACATTAATTTTCGATATTATGTGGAATTTTTGTATGATTTTGTATTTTTTAATAATTACTGTAATATAATACTGAGGAAGACTGCGTGCGGTTGAAACGTTTATTTTATAATGATTATAATTTTCGCTTAAGTTTGAGTATAGAATGTTTGTAGCTTTCACATAATGTTTTATGTTTAGTTTATACATGGAATAAATTTTATTTGACAGAACAACTCTAATAATTGCTCGGTAAGTTGGCCTTTTTATCTATCACTAGTTGTATTTACAATATACGAGCGAAACTTTGTATCAATTGATTACTAAGCTTATGTTCTTGGTTATATTGCAACTTTGAAATCTAGCACGCCGTAGTTCATGAATTGGCCGGCGATTATACCGCGAACAGCGCCCATGAAATGAGACCGTATTTTGACTTACCCTTACCACTAAAATTCTAAGGAGTTCGGTCTCCTATTCTCTAGTCTTCTTGCAGCCGATATACATACAAATATGTATGTTGTATTTATCAGTGCTCGGAATTAGTTGCTTTTTTCGAGCCGATTTTGCGAGCGACGGGGCGGGTTCCCCTACTACCGTCGAGGCTCGACGGCGGAGTCGTCGTCACTCCAGGCAACGCTATATCTTAGGAGCGTCGCTAAACATGTTCAGTTGTACATAATTTATATTTTTGTTAAATAATAACTGAATATTAACTGAATATCAACTTAATATTCAGTTATTAGTTAACAAAAATATAAATTATGTAATAATAATAACGATTTGACGGAAGGTACAACTTAACATGTTTAGCGACGCTCCTGAGATATAGCGTTGCCCGGAGTGACGACGACTTCGCCATCGAGTCTCGACGATAGTGGGGGGACTCGCCCCGTTGCTCGCAAAATCAGCTCGAAAAGAGCAACTAATTCCGAGCACTGTATTTATTATTTTAGGTTAATTAATTTGCGGAAAGCTTTAAATTGTATTTTTTATAATAAATTTTTAGTACTTATAAATGTGCGCCATATTTTAAAATATATATATTAATATATATAAACAATTAATAAGAGCTAATATTTCCTGTTTTAATTTTAAATGTGTTGTGTCTCTGAGGAAGCACGGAGAATTTTTCGGGTCTCAGCCACAGTATAAGTAAGAACAGTAGATACACTCGTGACGATTTTATTGTTATTTTGTGGCAATCATCCGCCATGTTGTTGTTTGGGCGCGCTTTTATTTGAATGTAACTGATAAACGAAACTGCTTAATAACTAACATTATTCACATTGTGACACACACACGCACACACGCACGCACACACGCACGCACACACACACACACACACACACACACACACACATAATATTAATTAAAGAATAAAAACACAATAGTTAGAAATACATTAAATGATAAAACTTTATATAATAAATCGATATATTTACAAATGCAAATACAAATACTTTAAGTAATAATTTTAATTTTAATGACTTATATTCTCTTAAAAATATTAAAATTTATAAATATCTAAATGTAATTTATATTATAAATGTATTTAAATGCAATTTATTAAACACTGTACAATTTTTATTTATTAATTTTATATATTAATATTAATTATTTTTATTATTTAAAAAATAAATAAAATTGTATTAAATTTATAATAAAAAAAAGTAATACAAACAATAATTTTAAAATATATTAAAATTTATGAGTAAAAGAAACATGCTTGAGTAAAACATTCTATTTTAAACTTTCGCGCCAGGAATCACTTTTTGGATAAAGACCATTGCATATATGATCCGATTGGCTGATCTGAACAATTAGCGCCAACTAACAATGATCCTTGTGCGAATACCGGCAGTGCGCAAATAATGAGTCATGACTTACAAGCACTTCTCATCGTATGCTGTTAGCACGGAGTGAATCGCTTAAATTCGTGATATATTTAATAATCACAGTAAATTTATCAATTTACTATCAGTTTATTATCATAACAGTGATTCTTGTACAATTATCGGCATTGTGCAAAAAAAAGAACACATTAGTGGACTATGACTTTTAAACGAGTTTCAAGTAAGACAAGGACGTTCAGGATATTCTATTGCGCGAATATGCCGTAAATCTTACCACGTGCTATTTGCACGAGATGGATCACTTCGTGATATTTATTAATCACAGTAAATATGCGTTTTGCATCTCGCGTTTCTTCGTCTCGCATAAATATAATAAATATAATATAATATTTTAGACTCATATACACCAAGCGAAGCTGAAAAGAGGTGGAATTATCTAAAGGATTGTTACAGAAAGGCCAAATTTATATTACCACTTATGAAAACGATTTTTTCATTATCAACTACTAGAGAATCCAAATTATTAGCAAAACAAGAATGCTGTGCAAGTTGTTCATGTTTCAATTTTCACTCGCAATATCCATACTTATATTGTTCCTAAAAATTAAAATATATATGCAAAATTAATACCTAATCAAACCATCACATACCAATGCTCAAGCTCGTATGACAATAAAAACAATGATAAATTATTAAATTAAGGCCATGTGTAACGAGCAATACGATATTATTTTATTATTTAGAGGAAAATTCTTAATTTGAAATAATAATTACACAAACGTTTCGAGCACTACTTGCTTCTCTTCAGTGCGCAAAAAAATAGTGATAATAAATAACGATAATAAATAAATACATAAAATTCTAATAAAAAATCCGCAATACATAGTCAATATAAGTTATATAGTTAAGTCATAGTTATAACGCAAAATATATTTACAATGAATTGAAACCATTAAAATAGTTCGACAAAGTAAGAACCCAATTAGAAGCAGAATGATTCGTCCGGTTATTCATAAAATATTTTAGAATTATTAATAAAAACTCGGAGTGACACTTATACATTACTCCAAACGAACCACTTATCGTTATTTGACGAAAGTCCCTCGATCTGGCAATGATTATGTCCATCCTCTCCAAATTATTTGATATTTGTTAACTGAATTTAAAGAATTTATTTAATTGTAAAATAGGATTCCACTAATGTGTATGTAAAAAGGATTAAAAATTACAAATTAAATTAAATACTAAAATATTGAACCTTTATGCTTACAAATTGTTCCGAATAACTTGAGATGACGATGCTTCTAATTGTTGTTGGCCTTATTGTTAGTACTTGACTGTTGTCTAGTCTTTTAAAAATCGAATAAATAGGTGTCAGATCTCACAAAATAAACATTTACATAAGTCTAAAAATTCGATATTTCTTCTAGAATGTCGAAATACGCGTAGACAACATTATTATTATTGTTATGCACGTTTTTGTCCTTGTGGACTTTAATTAATTTGTTAAGATTATTTAGACAACAGTATCCTACTCTGAAATCTGATTTTTTTATTGTCGATGCTATTGTCTCAGAAATGTTATTAATGTATGGAATAACGAAAAATTTTTTCTTTCTATTATCTTCTGCAATTTCTTTTTTTCTATTGTTGTTAAACTGACCATTGTTTAAAACTCTTATTCTCTTATTTATTTCTTTAAAGATTAAATGAATAGGGTAACCGTTGTCCAATAATATTTTAATACACAGTTCTAAATTTTTCTTATGATATATGGGATGAGATAATAACAATGCCTTATTAATAAGATTATAAATTACTCCTATTTTGTGGCACATAGGGTGACTCGATAAAAAAGATAGTACTCTACCTGAACATGTCTTTTTTTGAAACCAATCTAAGTGTATGACGTTATCTATTATTTTAATGTTTAAATCCAGAAAATTTATGCTTCTATTAATTTCGTATTCAATCGTAAATTGTAGTCGTTGATTGTAACTATTAAACTTATTCAGTAAACTATCAATTTTATTCTTTGGTGCCACCATAATAATGTCGTCTACATATCTATAATATATTTCGATACCAATGTCCAATTCATTAATTATTGATTCTTCAAGATCTTGCATAACAATATTAGCAATTATTGGCGATAACGGGGAACCCATAGGTGTGCCATAAACTTGCTTGTATACAATGTCATTGAATGTGAAGTATGTTGACGACAATATAAATTTAACCATGGAAATGAATTCATTTTTTGGAATTAATGTGTGTGTATTGATATAATTCCATCTATTGCTCACACTTTCTATTGCAAGATCTATCGGAATGTTAGTGAATAGTGAAACCACGTCTAATGATATTAGAATATCTTCCGCACCAATTTTCTTACCCGCTAGCTTGCTGTAAAGTTCAAAACTATTATTTACATTACTTTTTCCCGTAGGAATACTATTTCAAGTTATTCGGAACAATTTGTAAGCATAAAGGTTCAATATTTTAGTATTTAATTTAATTTGTAATTTTTAATTCTTTTTACATACACATTAGTGGAATCTTATTTTACAATTGAATAAATTCTTTAAATTCAGTTAACAAATATCAAATAATTTGGAGAGGATGGACATAATCATTGCCAGATCGAGGGACTTTCGTCAAATAACGATAAGTGGTTCGTTTGGAGTAATGTATAAGTGTCACTCCGAGTTTTTATTAATAATTCTAAAATATTTTATGAATAACCGGACGAATCATTCTGCTTCTAATTGGGTTCTTACTTTGTCGAACTATTTTAATGGTTTCAATTCATTGTAAATATATTTTGCGTTATAACTATGACTTAACTATATAACTTATATTGACTATGTATTGCGGATTTTTATTAGAATTTTATGTATTTATTTATTATCGTTATTTATTATCACTATTTTTTTGCGCACTGAAGAGGAGCAAGTAGTGCTCGAAACGTTTGTGTAATTATTATTTCAAATTAAGAATTTTCCTCTAAATAATAAAATAATATCGTATTGCTCGTTACACATGGCCTTAATTTAATAATTTAAAATATATATATTGTTATAAGAGTACGTAAGATTCAATAGAGAAAATATTAAACATAAATATTAAATATTAGAAATTGCATACACAGGACTCAACACTGTTAATAGATAAAATACAATGAATACTTACCATGTCGTATGAACTGTCGAAATTATTGTAAAATAATATAATATATTTACGTATGATACGCGATTAACAGGTTATGTCTTCTATTCCGGTCCGGGTTCCATAAAATGTTTGCCATGGGGAACCCATACTACAAAAAACGGAATGAAATTGAACGGAATCATTCTAATTGGTTAGTCTTCTATCTAGTTTTATTTCCGTTACCGTTCCGTTCCGCTATTTCTTCCTTCATCGGGATGCACCTTTAGGGTGCCGTCACATGCGGCGTAAGAAGCGTACGCGCGTACTGCTGCGTACTTTTGTATTTTAGTAATATGCCAGAACTTACGCCATTTAAAAAATGCTCTTTCACATGGAGCGTATTTCGTTAAATTTCGTGTAAAGCGTAATAAATCTAACCAATAAAGATTAGAGTTTCTGTTGTAGAACACAGCAGAAATACTAAAATCGATTTTCTATTGGTTATTATTATTTAGGCGTATTGCTAAATACGCGCCATGTGATATAGGTACCTGGTATTTATTGTAAAATATGCGTAATCATAGCTTAGGTTAAGTATGTAATGATGAAATAAATGGATAAGGTGCAGCGTGTATAAGTAAAAAGTATGTTAATAATAAATAATAATAAATAAATAAGAAAATATGTAAATAAAGAAATAAAAATATTATTTTAACAGGTTTCATTCATATAGTTCAGCAATTAAATACTCAAAAGTGCTAATATATAATGAATTAGTTAATACTATTAATTTTCAGAAATTCTCAGAACAATTTTTAGCATCCTTTTTTTGAACATTTTTGAAAGATGCATCAATTCATAAAGATTTTAAAAATTTTGAAGATTTTCTATATGAATTAACACATCGTTCAAAAAAAAAATTAAAAAAATTGTTGAGACATTCTGAAAATAATTTTACCAGAGATAATCTCAAAATTATTTTGTTATATTGTGCAAACGATGAATTATATCTAAATTGAATGGATAATTTTATTTCTAAAATTTGTTCTTACCCAAATTTGGTTATTCATTTTTTCAGCACACATCGCAAAATTATGAAATTATACGCAAATCGCATAAATACAATTGTTGTAACTATGCAACTTTTCGGCAGCTTACGCAAAAAATTGAATTCAGCGTATCGGTATTACGTTAAATCACTAGATGAATTTGCGTATGATAACTAAAACGAGGTAATTGGTTGATTGAGTTTGGCGTAAGTTACGCATACGCTGGCGTATATATTTTACGCCGCATGTGACGGCACCCTCAGGCTCTAGCGGTCCTGAGTTTACTAATTTGGGTAGAGAGACAGCAGGAAAATTATATTCTTAGAAGAGTGTAAAGTCTTGGTAGGAATTCTTAGACGATTCCACTAATTCGTTAATTATATTATCAATCTCTTCAAGAGTAATTGGAGATAAAGGTTCTATTTTATATTAAAAATTGTCGATTGATCTTGAACCTTGAGGTAGGTCAGAAGAAATTACCCCTTGAGACTCGGGTAATTGCTTATCTCCGGATAATCTCTCTTTAGAATTTGATAAACTATTCGCGATAGATCTATATTTCTTAATTAATGAAGAGTGCGCTTTTTCTTACGGACGAGTTTGTTTTTCCGGTTGGCCATCTACAGAGGTATGTTCATTCTTATTGTATTATTTAGTTAGTTATTAGAAAATGATAAAGTTGAACTGAGAGTTAAAGAGATTAATTCTCACTTGATTCCACACGGAGATGAAAATCTTCTCTGTTGTTCTTGGTGGCTATGCCTAGGCTGTAATTCTCCTGGGGGATTTCGGTCTCAGGATGAAGTTGGTAAAACAGACGTGGACTGATTTTATGTTACTTTAGTTCTTTATTCCTTCCTTTATGAACAATTTCTAAGTCTGTGACTTATAATCGTACAATTGGAGTTTACGAATTAAAACTATCAGATAAGTTTAACTAGAATGATAGACTAGCATAAGAAATCACGAAAAGATCTAAGTACAAGTTGACACGAATAGCTCGATTAACAGTAGTCGGCTAAGTGTAGGCTTTGGAAAATAGTAATACAAAATGCTTTATTCTAGAAGTTGACACGGAGTGCTCGCAGGACGCGTAATCCGCGGTTTATATACCCTTTGGAGGACCGGGGCGTGCTTAGATTTTGACAGGTTTTAAGAACTTTTAAGTCTCTTTAAGAACTCTTTTAAGAACTTGGCTTGCATCATCGAAGAGGGGAGTACAACGGCGAAGAGGATGATCCAGCAGCGAAGATAATTCGTTGGCGCAGAATAACTATAATTCTTAATAGTCGAATGGAAATCTTTACAATACTTTACTGAATTGCTTATTTTATGAAATATTAATATTTGTCATTATAATTTGTACTAAAGGTTTAAATTGCGTGCCCTAGAAGCCTTTGCAAAATGTGGAGATTGTAATTCTTTAGGTATTTGTTATGATAATAATTGTAAGATTTTGTTTAAAGCGTGCAACGTTATTCTGTAAAAGATTCAAGGGCTAGTTTTTGATAGTTGTAGCTTACAATGATAAAAATAATAATATTTCGCCTTCTAAATCTTTGGTCCGGCGTAGAGCATTGGTTTTTTCCTAAAGTTCAGGAATGCGGCAAGGGAGTTATGCCGAGGTCAAATTACAAGCCATCGTGTCGCCAAATCGATTTCTACGAATACTTATGTCTAGTGGTACATTTATTGCTCTTTGTTTGGTCTTTTTACGCATTAATAATATTGATCGATCAATTGTGGCATACTAGATTTATGATATATGATATTTATAGTTAATCAAAAGGTCTATAATTTATTATTTATGGATCCATAATTCATTAATGCAATATTGAAAGATTTACATATTCAAATGTGTACTTGGGTAATTCTTAATCGTACTTACAGAATCATGTTTAGGTATGAACTCTGGAAGAATTAGTGTATTTTCAGTTATCATATGAATTTTAATGTGAGTAGGATTCTGTAAATTTGATTAAAGAATAAGTTGTTTTAGAATTAATAATACATCGCGTTGCATTACAATTTACTTTAGGGAGGAGTAAATTAACATTCTTAATCCTTAAATCTTGTGCCTGATAGTATTAATATTTATCATACTTATTATTTATATTGTTTAATATTATTGTAATAGAGGTGTATCAATAAGTGCTCCTGTAAGGGAATATCTGGTTAGTTCCGCTAGTTACATGCTGTTTCTGGGGTCCCTAGATGATGCTTGATTAGTCGCGTGGTTAGGACTAGATAGAGAGGTGCTTGGTTCCTAGACGAAGGACCCCAGATCTGATGGTTTTAACTATTAATACAAAAATAGTCGAATTAGAGCAATTAGTTTAAGATATAATGATTGTAGTCTTATTTCTACAAGAATATGAATAGCGCGCAATAATTATACTGAGAACGAAAAAATTAAAATAGACGGAACGTCACACTAATTGTGACGTCCCGCCATTGGTCGAAACCCTAAATTTTTTGCTTTTACATCATTTCTTGCGAGAACCCATATAATTAACTATTTTGAGAATGATTTAATTTAGAATTAGACGTTTTTATTATTTACCGTTAGTAATACCGACATAGGAAATCTTCTAGTTGTAACTAGTCTAGGGACTAGCAACGCGACCAATCCAACACAACAAGCGTATATCTATAAATTACTAGACATCGCCATCTCTTACAACCCTAAGGGTGCGATTACATGGACGCGCGGAAACGCGGAAACGCGGAAACGCGGAAGAGAAAGTAACTAAACTTTACTAGAGTCCCGCATTTCCGCGCGTTCCGTTCCGTCTGTTTTGATTGCCTTATATTACATGGAGCACATTTTGAGCGGAAAAGCGGAAGAAAAAGTAACTAAACTTTACTAGAGTTCCGCTTTTCCGCTCAAAATGTGCTCCATGTAATATAAGGCAATCAAAACAGACGGAACGGAACGCGCGGAAATGCGGGACTCTAGTAAAGTTTAGTTACTTTCTCTTCCGCGTTTCCGCGTTTCCGCGTTTCCGCGCGTCCATGTAATCGCACCCTAACGGTATGAACGATAAATGCAAAATATAATCAATGTGTGCCAACCTATTAATCAATGTGTGAACTCTATAATCGACATGTTTGAAATTGAGTAATCTTATTTATGGAATAGTTAAAATGACGAATCCTTTGAATAGATATTTTAATCACACAATGGTGAATGAATTATAAAAATTGATAAATTCTAATGACCGACTATTTGTCATAAAATATTCCATAAAATCTTTTCTTTGAATTATAAGATAACAAAAACGATGCGCCTCAATTGTAATTATATTTATGGAACCTTACTATCTTTATCACTATTATTAATGATTGAAACTACTCAGATTCTTGCAACTTAGTATCAGTGATGTTATTCTCCTTTTGCAATATATTTACATAAATAAGGACTCCATGAATATAACGACATTTCATCGTAACTATATAAGAATATACCACGTTCTGAAATCATAATTATATAATTTAGCAATCATAACTTCATTTCATTATATTAAAATTGCAACAACTAGAATATAGCAGAGAATTATATAGAGAACGATTTCAGAAACGTATAGAAGCTAGCAAGCGAACAATAGAACCCCAACGTGCGGCTACCGCTTGATCTTTCTTTGTCTGCCGGACCGCCCCCGATCTTGATACGATAAGCAATCTCGCGTCTTTCGGGATGCTAACACCTGCACGTCACGAGCCTCGAGAATCAACAAATCATAGACTTTTACGACTTATTTTCTCTTAGATTTTCTCGTCGTCTATCACCTTATATGGTCATGATAGACTCTCTTGACCATATTTGGTCATAAGAAGAGCTCACTCGTGCCTTCTCAGAACCCCCAAACCACCCTTCTCTTATAAGAAAATTTATTATGATATTTTCCTGGAAAAGCGTTTTCGTGGGAATCCTCCCACCCAAAAATTCGCACTCGACCTCAAAATTTTTCGGTTTCGAGGGATATATAAACCCTAGAAAGTCTGGCCGGACGACGGCATTTCATCATAATCACGGGACCGCATATCATCATAAAAAGTTACAGTGTACACTTTAAATTGTCGCTAGCCAAGAAGTGCAGCAACAATTTCGTACCATCCTAAAATCATCATAACAATCTATAACGCGAATCTCGAAATATATAACTTTGTCAACGACACTTAACCGCTGTAACCCAGCGTAAATTTGTAACTTAGTACATTGTTCAAGTCACGGGTTAGCCGTCGAACTCGCTGACTTC